GCAGAGTGAAATAAAAAATATAAGCAAACATTGCCAGCGGGGAGTATTATAGCAAATATTTGAAATGCCTCCCTTTTAGAGGCTTTCAGGGTGGATGCTTTCAGTTGTGTATCATGCTGTTGCTAGCACACGTGACAAAACTCTTTAGAAAAAATATTTTCTTGTTGCCATTGTACCCTAAATAATGTTGCATGAAGTGGAAGAACATAAATTCCCCTGGTGCTTGCCTTTCCCTTTCAAGCATGGCTACTTTAGACACAGTCAGTCTGAGAGCTCTGTACTGCCTAAGACTCTGTTGTCCATTAGCATTTTTCTTCTCACTGTCCGGCTAGCGAGTGACTAAACATCCCTGGTGCTGCTTTCTTCCCAGAAGAGACAGCAAGGCTAGCATGTGGTTTCCCTGGCTATGGGAAGCCTGGGATTCACTGCAGCCAGCAGAATGGAACTGGGTGGAAAGCTGGAAAAAGGCTGGAATAGTGTGTACTGGAAAGAAAGCTGGTGGGGAATGACGCTGCCAGTCCTCACCTCCTGCCTAGGACCTCGTGCTCATGGCTAATGCGACAAAGGGAGGAGGTCACATATTTAGGGTGAAGATGAAGTGTTCAGGATATATTCAGGAAGTACTCCCCTGCAACAGGGATCAAATACAACTTGGCCAGGGCATCACGGAACTTGGCAGGCTTGGATCTGCTTGGCTCAGTGCATGTGTAGGTTACTGAGATAAGACTGATGGTTAGCAGAGCGTGTAAGGCTCAGCCCCTCAGGGATGGCCCCGCTACTGAAGCGCATGAGTTGCTGTTACCAGGTGGCTCACTTAACATGGCAGACTGCTAAGATGATGAATTATGAGGAAGTCCTAACTCCTGCCCTGGCTCTGCTGCACTGTGTGACCTGACCTGTGGTCCTCCTCTTTGTCCTCATTTATTTCAGTATGGTCATCGCTTTCTCATCTTCCCTCCCAGCAGGATGGCCTAGGCTCATTATATCACACCAGAACAGTGTTTTGCAAATGGACAGCATCCATATTATTATCAAATTGTCAAGGCATCCCAAACTGTGCTGCTTTGGTACAAATACCTCCCCTGCAGGCATCTCTGCAGCCTGCTGTTTCCTCAGGCTCAGCTGAGAACAAGAAAAGAAAGGAGAAGGACACAGAGTGAGGGACACAGCAATGCAATGACTAGTTCTTTACACGTGGACATAGATCCACACCCCAGTGTGTTAAATAAAGACCAGAAGAGAAATGGCTGCTCTCCAGGCAAGGATAATATAGAAGCAGTGAAGGTCAGGATGCTTCAGGCCATGACATCCTGGGAACACTTCTCACCAGGCCTGTAAATGAAACCTGTGTATCCTAGGGGTCTAGCTACCACACCTGTGACACCATGGGTGCCCACCACAAAGTGCATGAGTCACAGGAGCTCAGCAGGACAAACCACTGCAGGCAGCTCCTTGGCTCCTTTTTACCAGAGCCTGAGAGCAGCAGCGGAAGCTGTGTCAGTGTTGGTGATCTCACTGCATGCCAAGGGGATGTGGATGTCAGCTATGACAGACTGCATCACCCTCAACAGCTTGACAGGCCTAAACCTGCAGGTCTGCTACTGGTAGACTTCATGGGCTGCTCTGTTGCAGGAAGGCAGCTCTTAAGATCATGCAGTGATGCCCCAGAAAAGAGCCAGAACAGAGCTCTGTTTCTCAGGATTATACAGCATTCCTTGGAGAAAAGCTTGCTACCCCTTTGCAGAGCCCTGCTGCTGGCTACGTGAGGCTGACTGCTGCTAGCACCAACACTGGAGCACTGGTGCTTCTGCATGCTGTCTGTCCATCAGGGAAGGGATTGCATTATCTGTCATGTCAGTCTTTCCAACAGCAACAAGGTGGTGAACATAATTCACAGTTGAGTTCAGACAAATGAAAACCTTCAGAACCTGGTATTGGCCCCTGAATCATTCCTTTAAACTCAGTTTCCTTGTTCCTGCTCCTTGAAACATGGATGCAGTAACAGGAACAGCTACTGCATTGAAATTCAGGGGTATAAGGTGGCCCTCATGGGTTGCTAAGCTTTGGTATCATGGTATTCTGCTAAGCTGGCACTGTATAGATTAGCTAATGCTCTTGACGTCTAATGGGAGAGGAGACAGACTTGTGATGTTCCCAGTCAGAGGAATTTCCTATTTTTAGAAATGCTGCTGGTTCTCATGGGATGGGCAGGCTGGAAAGCCTGCCACATCTTTGCATACTTTTCCCCTCAGATTTAGGACAGAAAGCTGCTTTACTATCCACTCCATTCCCTGAGCTTGCATCACAGGTACCCCAGTCTATGGGTCTTAAAACTTACTACTACCAGACAACAAGGGTAAGAAGAGCTCCCCTGTTCCCAGCAGTTAAGAAACTTCAAAGTGTCTCTTGGGAAACCTCTGTAAGACTCCCTCAGGTCTTGCTTCATTCCCAAGTGAAATCTGAGCAGGCTGGGAAGGTATAGAAGGGCAGGAGCATTTTGTTGTGTCAGCAGTTTTTAGCACTGTCTTGTTTTCTGCCTAGAAACCACATTATTGCTCTATCTGCCTCCAAAACCAACTAGCTAATGAGGGAAGCTGGCTCGTAAGCTTGGTGGCAAAGGCGCCAGCCTCACCACTTTTCCCTACTCCTCTTCCACGGGAGCCAAGAGGTAAGCATTCCCTTTCAAACACCAGCTTCCTTCAGATAAGCTCAAGCCAATGCCTGGCAGCATCCCTTCCTAAACATAAGCACCTCTGCACTCTTTCGACTCTTTCTGCTCCCTGGGCTGGATCCCCTGCAGGCAGAAATTGCTGGAGTTCTGCCAGCTTCAACAAAGCTATGTTGATCTAAACCAGATGAGGATCTTGTCCTGTAGCTATTGAAAGGCCATCTGAATGTGGCCCACATGAGTTTCAAGCTGTCTCGGATACAAACGGTGACGTAGTGAGACCCCACCCACCCTGTCCTTTAACTCTTGTGATTAGGTCAGTTGACAGCCAGGTTGTGACAGCACCCTTGTCTGGCTGGAGGTGTAGGAGAGCAAATTCCTGGGATGGTAGGATGAGCAGGAGATGGCTGTGCTTCATCTAGAGATCTTGACTCCTGGCAAAAGGGTGGAGTGACCACATACTGTAGTCACAGGGCCAATGCACAAGCACTTAATTGCACTAAGGGCAGAAAAGTTGTTCAGGAAGAAATTGCCCCACATGCTGGGATGGGCTTCCAGTCCTACAAACTGGTAAAGCACGCAAAAGCTTACAGAATTGGGACTCCCCTTTAGCCTTCTCTGCTTATGAGGAACATTCCCTCAGCTGTTCCCAGATGTTTGGAGAGGCATTACTGGTTCAGGTCAAAGTGCACCAGTGACTTTCCTAACAGTGCACAGCTGTGCGTCTGCATGTTCTGGCATTGCTGGCACTTACTAGAGTAGCTGCAGGAATGGGACACCAAAGCCCACTGGGAGGCTGGTAGAAAAATTTTGCAAAAGGAGGAGCAAGAAATGCCAGTACATTTTGCAGGAGGATGAATTTAGTACTCGAAGTAACTGGAAAATAGGAAGAATCTTGCAATATATGTCAGGATTTGAACTGCTGAGGAGATTTGGGAAAGCGACTATGGAAACTTTTTTGGGGACTTGAAATGGGTCCACTTTGACTCTGTGACAATGTATTTTTTTTTCTTTAGAAATTACAATATTTCCTCCTAAGCAAGTTTTCTTCACAGTGATAGTTCCAAAAGCAAACTGGTAGCTTTCAGTGGCATTTTTTGACTGAAGAATGTTTACACCATGGAATATAAATTTTTGGTTATCTCCACTTGTAAACACTTTCTGCTGAAGGGAAGAATGCTTGCACAGCGTGTTTTTCAACCTTCTGATGAAGGCTTTTGCATCTTGTTACCTTTTGTAGACTGCTTGGAAGGAATTTATGACCCCCTAGCAGTGCAGAGACCCAAGCTGGCAAAGCTTAATGTGAGTTTTGAACTAACTCTAGCTGTCCTTTATAGCTTTATTGACACTTCTTTAGCTAAGGTCCCTGTGGTGGAAGATCCCAGTAAAACAAACAAGACCTAGCTCAGTGCAAGATGGCTGCTCAATTAAAAGAGAAAAAGAAGTTTCCACGAACAATTTCAATGCAAAGGCACATTACAAAAGTGGCAAAGGCATGAGTCACCAGGAATCACTGCAATATGGGAAAGGCCTCAGCATTCTGCATAAAGTCCATACTGATGAAACTTAACTCTGCATTGTTAATAGACACTGTGAATGAGAACTGATCTTCTCAAACCTGAACGCTGCAATTACTACTCTTGGCTTTCTTCCAATAAAATGATGCATAGCTATCAGCTTTGTCTAAGGAACCTGCAAGCAAAGTGAGCCATGCCACCACCACCTTTCAGAGTATGAAAATGCCTACAGATGTTAAGTTTGAAGTATCAACATGTTGCCCACTTCAGAGGATTGGCCTGAGACACTCAGAAGTTCATTAAGACCTTGTGCTATTCATCAGATCCATTTAGTGTCCCCCGGATTTCCAGATTGCCCTCTGCAATGAGGAACCCGGTGCCAATGGCTCCTAAGACCAATCCAGTCCTGGCTAGATTTAGGAAGCCTGGACAATGCAAGATACCTGCTAGGTCAACTGGAAAGAAATCAGGCTGATTGCCACGGGAGCCTTGCCTGTGGCTCATCAATAAGTCACTGAAAGCAAGTGTTTCTGCAAAGCAGATAGGTATTAATTGATTCTTTCTAATGGAAATCTGTTCCACTGCGAAATACTGGACTGTGACACAGCTACTGCTGACCCTGTCAGCAATCTTCCCTGAAAACATTCAAATTCTCTATAGCAGATTGCAAATCGAGTCCAAAGGGACATTGGTAAAGTCATGCTGTATCTCTGACAGGCTCCTACTAGTATTTCTGTCTACAGCTTATACACAGCTTGAGGTGAAACTCATACAGAATCCCTTTCATTTTCACTACCGTCGTTTGGAAGACTTACCTCTGCTTATTCTCTGTTTTTCTCCAGAAAGGATTCCTGGTGTATCAATGACACTGATGCTCTCTAACACAGGATTAGGTAGCTGGGCACAAACGAACCTGTGTGAAAATAAATGCATTTAAAATAAAAGCAAAAGGTACTTATGAAGTGCTGAACATCACAGGCATCACAGGACAAGCCAAGCTCATCTCATTTACAAGTCTTCAGTTGGAGCTCGGAGCTAGTCTTGATTTAAAGAAATTCCTTAAAGAAAGAAGCCAGAACCGAGGACTTTCTTTGACTATTTTGCTGCTTCTGGAACACGGGTTTCAGTCATGACCTATGAAAGGGGTTTTTTTGTGGCCCCCAAATTGTGAATTATTAATGAAAGTGTGGAAATCCAAATGTTTTAATTTGCTGTTTAGATTTTAGCAAGAAGTGGTATTTGTTTTTCTTCACTTAAGCGTTCCCCTGCAGAGTCCTGAACTCAAATGAACTGAAATAACTTGTTTTAAAAAAAAGTCAGCAAAGTTGTAGGATTTTTGTTCTCTTTTAAATCTGGTCTTAAACAGAAAGCGTGCTACTCTTGCACCACAGGCACCATGAGCTCTCAAAAGGTTGCTTAGTCTATCCTTCTGCCTCAAGGCAGGATCAATCAGATGTTTGTCTAAAGTGTTCTTCAAATCCATAATAACGCAGACACACCAATATTTGCTGGGAGTCTACTCCATTACTTAATTATCCTTACAGCAAAACCTCTTTTTCCTAACATCTAATCTAAATCTTCCATGCCACAATGCTTTTCAGTCTCAAACACAGTAGATGTGGAAAATGATTTATCTTTCCCTTCTTGTCGCAATGTATACTGCAGTCATTCTGTCTCCCTCAGTCTTTCATCTAACGAAAACAGTTTGGGTTTTTTTCCCCCCCTATCTCTTTCAGTTCTCTCTAGCTGCCTTTCCAGCTCATTTCTAAATCCCCGAAGACGCTTGCAGCTTTCCTTTGGGTCCTCTCAAACTGCTCCACATATTTCTACAGGCTTGATGCCCCAAGCTGACATAGTACTCCAGCTGTGACTTTGCCAGTGGTGAACAGAGTGGATGGATTGCTCTTTATCTCTTACATATGACAGTTCTGTTTATGTATCTCAGTAAGATGTTTGCTTTTTTAACAGCAGTATGACACTGTTGAATTACATTCCGTTTGTAATTCACTCCTCCCCCCTCTGCAGCTCCATTTCTAAGTAACTGTTCTGTAGCTAGTTGTTCCCCATCTCGCATCTATGCAAATAACTGCCTAAGGAGAGTAACTTGTGCTTGTTCTTAGTGGGTTGCAGCTCATCCATTTCAGTTGCTGGTAACAGCAAAGGACAGTAAAAGCCTATCCACTTACGTGACTCCCGGTAGCATTTTATGGACAGCCTTTTTGTGATGGCATTCCAGACAGCTATAAGTATGTGTGTGTATGTACATATGCATATTAATAGGGTGGTGTGACATCCAGGCATAAAAAATGTGTTACTGTGGGAGGAAGCAGAACCACATACAGGATGGGGGTTAGCACAAGGGTCACTAGATGCAGTCAAGGCAGACAGAGCCCTGCAGCGCTCTGATGAGTGGCTGGTTCTGCTGAAGTCCCTGCAGCCATGAACTCTTCCAGGCTATGCTACAAATTCACCCCATTTTTTCTAGCTGTATGACTCCAAGGAAATTCTGACAAGAATGAATTCTCATGGGTTAGAGGAGTGTCTGCTCTGCTAAGCTGTCAGCTATTTCAGACCACATATTACAGCCTCTCTCTCCCACATCCGCAGACAGGCAAGTGGCAACAGGGAGCATTTCTGAATGTGCGACACCTCATGTAGAAGATGGGGATCGGCTCGATTCTCCTGTGGAGTGCCAGGCATAGCAGCAGAGAGCAAATGGCTCAGGAGGTCACGGTATTCCCCTTTCCTCCCACCCCACGTCTGCTCTCCATTGTTAGAGTCCTGAGCATTCCTTGTGGTCTAATATTCAATGGCTCAGGCAAGGGGATTTTCCATCAGTTTCTCTAGGGAAAGTACTCCACAGGAGATTTCAGATACAAGGTCAGAGGCCAGCATGAGTAAGTGCATTCTGGCTCTGTTGGCAAGGCTGTTAGGCTGCTGCCATTCCAGCAGAACTGCAGGGAGCCTGACCTAATTCTGTCCAGGGCCATATGAAGGCAAGACCGTGGTGCCAAACTAGACTTTCACTACCTTTACAGGCAGAGCATGAGGGTGAAGGAGGAACCTGTTATCCATGATGTCTCCTGCTGTTGACAACACAAAAGCAGGACTGACTCCACCTTATTTTCCCAAGACAGACTTTGGGGGTGGAAGGAAACTTGCAATCAAGCCAATGTGATATGAAAGTAATGGCTAAGATTCCTGATTTTGCTCCAGGCCCTTGGTGCCAAACAAGTCCTCCTGATAACGAGGCACAACCTGTAATCTCTCTGCTGGGACCCATCCAGAGCTGGGGTAGTGCCAGCAGAGTTGGAGTGAGGAAAACAAGCCTTTCTCAATACTCAGAAACCCCCTGGGGCAAGGAGAAGAGGACAAGAGATAGGGCTGGTCAGAGCATGGTACTGCAGAGCTGCTATCCTTTTGGCCTTGGGCAGCTTGTCAGCCCTAGCTCTGCCCTTAGCCAGGAAGGTAGGGCTAGACACTCCATCTCCTGGGAATGAAGGGAGGGAGGAGACAGGCTCTGAGCAGCACAATTAGCTGCTGTCTCCCAGCCAAATCCTGACTGTACCGCTTTTCCCTTGGTTCCTGGAAGGCACCAGACCCCAGTCTCTGCTGGGAAGGGAGTACCATTCCTTCTGTTCCTTCCCTTAGCTCCCCTGGAATAGCAGGCTCCGCACCCCACAGGACACAGTGCTGTGGGATGCCACCTCTCAGCTGAGACCATCATGGTCTATGTGAATGCTACTGCCCTGTGCTGCCCTATTCCTTTCCACTGGTGCCCATAGCCAATTGCTACTTTTAACCACCCATGGATAAAGTGCACTTGTTCATGGTTGCTCTCTTCTCTCAGCTGAGAGGGGTGACTCCTGGAGATCACGTCCCGTCTCCAAATTTCCTACTTACAGCCTCCTAGCTGAGGTCAGCGCCTTAGTAAACATACAGCAGCAGCAAGATACATGCAAGGCAGAGACACCTCTTGCCAACGAGCCAGGCCCACTACAGGGGTAAGTGTGGGTGGCTTGATTCAGTCCAGTGGGTATACCCTGACTTACATCTGCTAAATTTCTGGCCCTCTGAGTCAATTCTTGCATGTGCTTCATTTCCTAATTAGCTGGGTATTACCACTTGCATTTTCAGCATTGTGATGCTCATACTGCTGAGCTAGTCCCCCTTAGCATGTCTTCCTGTGCCAGTTTAGAAATCATTACCCCTTTTTTTTTTATCCATCAGCAGAAAAGGGGTTAATTAGCTGTTGTAGCTACCCCCTGCACTGCTAGCAGGACTGCACTTCTGCTGCTGCAGAATCACTGCTGTGCCCCTGTGCCCTGCTGTCCTCCTAGGCACACACATGACTCTTTCCTCCTAGGAGAAGGAAGAGTAGCAGGCAAGTAACAAGAGCACAGCATGACACAGTGAACTAGGCTAATGGACACAGAGATCCCCCACTGCATTAGGAGCAAACTGCACTCAGGACACATCAGTCAGTCCAGTTCAGGAGTGTTTGCTTTTTTACCCTCCATGCCTGGCCTCCTTGCTCCTGACGTTGCTTCTCCTCTGCAGTGAACTGTCTGCCAGCAGAGCTGCTCTGAATGATGTTCTCTTCATCTACCACCTCCATGCTCCAGGCAGGCAGCCTGTTACTTTCTTAGGGCAAAGCAGTTTCCTCCCCTGGTGAGCAGTCACCTGACCTAACTGTTGGCCAGGTGCAGATGTTCTGGGCCCTACAAAATACTGAAAACATCTCAAAGTATCTCCAGTGCAGGACCATGTTGACATATTTGAATGATGAGCCTGTTAGTGATCAGATATTGCTTCCAGAGTCACCCTGAGGCACTGTGAGGTTCTCTGCATAGCAGTGACTCCAGCTAGGTCCCTTTTCTCTCATCAAGCTTCTCCCCTTGCTTCCAGGCAGGTCCCTTCCCTGTCTCACTGCAGCCCACACCAGCACTCCTGTGGGGTCAGTGTTGGTAGGAAATGCTACACTCTCTGGGCAGACACCCTAAGCTCAGAAGTTAGAAAGGGAGCCAAAGCCCAGCTGTCCTGTCTGTTTGGCTGACCAGCTGCCATGTTTGCAACATCTCCCACACTGTGTTAGAAGGGAAAGCGCTAATGAGGGGCGTAGTCAGACGGTTTGTTCCCATCTGCCTGCTGTAGCACAGTTTGTGCTCATCTAGGATATGGGTGTGTGCGGCTGGCTTCCTGCAAGGCCTAGATCCAAAACTCAGTATGGTTAGGCTAGGTCTAGGGGATGGAAAGGTTACATTCCTCATGTCACAGAGCCACTGCCCAAAGCCCCTGCTAGACCGTTTTTTTTTTTTTACAGGAAAGACATTAGAGCTGTCATCAATTTGTGCCTGAAGTTACATGTATAAGACATCAGAATGGAGAGAGTCTGGTTTTGTTACAAGGGGGACATTCAAGCAATGTTTAAGAATGCAAGAAAGCAAATACGCATACATTGTGCCAGTTCCACTTCTCTACTGACTTCAATGGCTACATCTGCTTGGAGTATTTAATTTCAGGGAACTGAACTGATGGCAGAACGGACAAAGCTAGAAATACAAAAGCAAGGGAGAGCAAAGCGTAATGAAGATATTTACTTCTAGACTCCTACAGGATGAGCTTGACAGGCTGTGCTGTGTTGTTTGTTTTGTTTGTTCAAGTAAAATCAAGGTTTGTCCCACTTGAATTTGTTGATCTGCCCTTCAGTGAGTGACTGATGTGCACCCAGTCGGACTAGAATGGCTTTTCATCAGCCTTGTGGATGGGGAAAAAAGGTATAGTGTAACACCTTATCCCTCTAAATTGCTAGCTATGCTGCTTATTATGTTCTAGCTTTATTCTCCAGAGCAACTAAGTTCTCGAGTACTGACCTGTTCAAAAAGGCATTGCCAAAGGCGTTGAGTTTCCTGAACGGTTTTTTGGGATCCACCACCAACGCGTTTCCAGGAACGATTCCTTCCACATCTCCTTGCATAACTGCTATAAAAGAGTCAGTTGTAGGCTCTGGTCCAATTCTCATCCCTGGGAAATCCTGCTCCAGCAGGTACCTGTAGGCAAAAAAAACAGTGCCTAAGTCCTGAACAAGTTGTACAGAGGATTGCAGTGTAACTATAAAGCTCAAGAGTATGGATCCTTCTGAGACTATTTTTAGCACTGTCACTGAATCATCTGATAAGTGTCATGGTAGCTTTTCTACTCAAGATCTCCACAGTTAGGGCTTTCTTATTTCAGGTGGATTAAGAAATTGAGAAGCTTATAGCTGCTGTGAAGAGATTCTCATCATGTTTGATCATTTTGTGTATTTTAATCCTCAAGACATTTGGAACAGACTTAGCATAGCAAAGTAAAAACAGCCGTTCACTGCAATCGCAGAGTTAATCCCGAAACCTTACTGGCCTTTAGTGCCAATATCAATTACTTCATTGCTGCTCATTTAATCAGACTCATCCAAGTAATGTGCTTAGCCCCCAGTCCAAATCAGTCATTCAAATACCAACTTCTGTGCTTGACTGTTGAAACCTCAAGTCTCCCTTTCTGTGCACTTCTGCAATGCAGCTACAGGTCTGCAATACAAACTATCAAGCATATCGAGCATTAAGCATGTGGGTTGCAGAGTATATCCCAATATTTGTTATCAAACTGAATACCACAGTAAGCACAGCATTCCTTATTGTTTCCTAAGCCTCTGGCAGCCTCTCTGCAAGTATAGTTCGGCAAATTTCAGGGAATGATAGCCACCCTTGGGACTGCAGGGCTTTGACTAGGACTCTGCCAGATTCAGCCAGGGGTGTGCATGGGACAGTTCTCTTTGGCTCACGAAGTAGCCAAACGCCATCACTGAGGTCAGATCTGTCTTTGTGTGTGTGAGTGCAGAAAACACCCCACCTGCTTATCTTGTGCTAAGAACTAAGACCATTGTGTCCACATGGCTTGCAAAAGGGAACTAGAACTGATCTAGTGCTTAGTATGGGATGGTGTCAAACCACCTGATCTGATAATAAGCTCTGCATTGTTATATGAGGAACATTTGACTGCCAGGTTATGAAAGTTAGTATAATACCGTGCTGCTTGTTGGCAGCAGACAGCTGGCACTTCCTCTTCCATTGCTTTGACCTAATTTTTAGTAGGTAGAAAGTAGAAATATAGAATTCCTATGATGTTAAAAGTAGATTCAGGGAATGGGGAAAAAAGAACTGGAAAAAAGGAACAGGAAGAAGGGCTGAGGATTTTTCATGACTGAGACCAGTGTGTTTAATGACCAGCATTGGTTCACTCAGGTGAGTCTTACCAGAGAGGGTAAGTTCCTATGTGAGGGACTACAGGACCACTAGCCTGCAGGCTTGTGATAACTTTTTTGGGGTTCCTGCTTTTACCACCATTTTAATAGAGGTAATCACCATCCAGTATTTTAGGAACAACAAAAAATTGTAATTGTTCAGCAGGGCTATTTTTTGACACTGTGTCAGCAAATGCCTCTTCAGTTCTCAGTGGTCAAGGCCAAATCAACTGGATCTAGAATTAAAATAAGCAAGGGCATGGCCAGAATACAATGCAAATCATAGCTATTTGTCTGGCTTGGTATACATTAAAGAGAAAGGCTGCAGCAAGAACAACTCCAGCAATGATATCCATAATAGCTTTAGGAGCTGACCACCTACCTAATCAGTATTATATCACGTATTTTCTTACATCTTTTATCCAAAGTGATTTCCAAGTCCTGTGTTCACCAGACTGTCACCAGAAGTGACTTCTCTTACTGGGAGCAACTCTGAGATGAAACAGCAGCTGTTTAGCAGTTCCCAAAAACCTGAGATAATCCAGGAAGCATTCCAAGAAGTGCACAGCCCTCTGACCTCCTACACTAGGGTGAACATCCTATCTACCTAAAGCCTACGCAGGGATTTCCAAAACTTTCCTGTAGAAGTGGGTCATTACTTAAAAGCAGACTGCAGCTAATGCTGGTGGGTGCCACCTCCCTGGCTGGTGATCACAATACACCTTTCTAGCAGCTACGATTAACTTCTCTCTAGCTTGAAGCAGCTGAGAACAAGGAGGAACCACTTCTCTCCCACCAAGGGCTCTGTGGACTATAATACGAGTGTTCTTGGCTCTGTTCCCTGGAAAGCTCTTTACATTGAAATAACTATTTGCTAAGTTAGAAGCCACTTGGCCAGACTCTGGAAACTAAGCTCAGTCCTCCTGGATGGCAATTCAAAAATGTTAGCCCCTGGCAGACATGGCTGCGATGCTAGTCACTGCTATTTTCTCTCCTCCGCTCCTGCTTTGTACTTGGTTTTGGTCTGACATAGTATATTTAAGAGTGATATACAGATGGGCATTCACTGAATCCATAGAAATAAATCTTTGAGCTCTCCCTTTGCAAATACTAGAGAGAAAAACAGACAGTGATAACAATTGTCAAATACAACAAGTGTAGTGTTTTTAAGAAACATCCCTTACTCTCAAAGCCAGGTCACAGTCTTGCCATAACAATAACCTACTTGTTTTTTTACAGGTTTTAGATGCACATGTAATATGATAACTTTTGAGCAACAGGAGAAAAAAAGCCTGAAGGTTTTGTTTGTCATTCACAAATAAAGCTTCTGAGAAAGCCTAAGCAAAAGTCCTGCATATAATAGCAATGCTCCTCCTCCAGCCAGGCTCCTCAAAAGAATTTTATCACGGCTCCACTCAGCTAATGTTTCAAAGCATTTCTGTGTCCATTTAAGTCTAAGACTTAAAAAAAAAAGCAAAACAAAACAAATCAACCAAAGCAGACTCATATAGAATTAGCTACAAGAGGAATTTTAATTGACTTCATGTGCAACAAGTGGTATGAAATCAGAGAGATGAAGATTTGCACTGCCTAGTATCACAGCATCTATTTTAAGTAAGGTTCCTCTGGGAGATTTGGGTATATTGTGCAGCAGGGTGTCCGCAGCACAAGAATGTTATTGTACACAGGACAAATACAAGGGTATTTATTGACACTTGTCTGAGGGGGTGGGGAGAGAAGGCAATTCTTCTAGGCAGTGATGCCAGCTGCCTCTGCTAACAGAGGCAAGCTACAGAGCACATGCAATTGTCATATTTGTGGGGATTTCTGGGAGAGGAGAGCAGCAAACAATGGCTGTGGAAAACTGACTGACAGTGAGCAATTTCCTCTGCCAGTGCAGCATGCCTTACTCTGAGCTGCTGAACGCCTTCACAAGCCTGGGCAGTGACCTCCAGGCAGGTTGGGGAAGCCTGCAGAGTGCCAGGCAAGGGGTGAGCTTTTTTCTAAATGGCCAGTCTGCTTTTTGGAGGAGCATCTGGAGCTGATGTGTGGCTGTTTGCCCCCTTTCAGGCCTGTCCCTGCTCCTGGTGGGGGACAAGGGCAGGAAAGCTGCATTAATGCCAGCCTAGCTTCAGGTAGCCTTTCCCAGGCAGGTTTGGAGCAGCGCAGGAGCCAGGCAAGGTGATCCCAGGCTCTCCAGGCAGGAGTGCTGCAGGATGTGGGGGAAGGCGCCATTTGCCTGTGATGAGTCATGCAGGAGCAGTGCAGGATGCTGTGTGTGGCAGCAGAGGTGATGCAGAGCAGGAAAGGGAAGAAGGGCAGAGCAGGAGGAAACAGTGACAACTGCCTGGTGCAGGCAGAGATGAAAGGTTCAGGGTCACATGGGGAGGCCACACCAGAGCTCTGCGTGTAGCCTGTGACAAACAGTCTGGAGAGGCCAGGGCGTGTAAATGATTAGCTGTAGGAGGAAGGGGTGGCTACACCAGAAAACCAAGCCATGTTGACAGTTAGTAGGGCTCTGGCAGGCTTGTTTATTTTATTAGCAGGATGACTGGACAGAAGCCAGGATTATTTTTAGAAAAGACCACAGAATCTAAGTTCATTAGGAGAGTAATGTTATGTCCTGCACTCCTACCCTCTTACAGGAAACATAAAAAGCAATAACGTGACAAAGGCAGGCTCCAGAGACATCCTGCTGTGGCAGTCAGATATTCCCAGGTAGAGGTGTTGCCTTGCCCTTGCCATCACAGCCTTTCAGACCTTGGCCCTGTGGAAAAGCCTCAGTCAAATGTATGCTGAGGACAGCAACGGGAGTGAATGAGAAGAGAGGATACAGCAGGAAGCAGGCATGGAAAAGCTGCAGTTAGGGACACTCCATCTTTCACATGGCAAAATAAGGCTCCATTCTCCGAGTCCCTGAAAGCAGGGGAAAGAACAGCCTGGTTCCACTGAAAACAAGCCAATGCTCTGGTCTCGCTACACTGGCTTTAACACACAACTCACCTCCCTCCTCCCCGCCTCAGCCTCTAGGAACGTGTCTTGCTGCTGACCTTGACTGCCTTCTTTCTGCCATCAGACCCTGACAAGAGAGCAGCCTCACTGCAAGATGCTGCAGCTTAGGCACTTCAGAGCCTTGCATTTCCTTCTCATTTCACCTCAGATTGCCCAGTAACAAGGAAAGATGTCTGGGAGACAAACACACCTCAGGTAGGTGGCTAAGATTATTTGTCCTTTTTTAAAAATGGTATACTGGGATCGAGTTCTTTCCACACAAGTGTTTAGTGGCACTAAGTCATCTCCCTAAATTGCATGGCATTATGAGCAGGATGCAATCTAAGTGGAATGGATACACAGAGATAACACTATTATCCCCTATCCCGACAAGATTATGTCCAGAGGCTGTTTCTTGCTTTAATACCAAGACATCATGGTTGTTTCTCCTCCCACTTCCTCGCCCAGTCCTCTTTAACTCCTCCCTGCTCTCAGTTGTAGCTCCCACTTTCCTTCCCACAATAACCCTGGATGCTAATCTGGTGTTTATCCCAGCTGTCTAATGACTAGTGCCTGCAAGCTCACAGTGGAACCCTATTATAAGCAACACCCATTTTTCTGGCACCTCCTGCCTTTGCTTGGTTGGGAACATACTGAAATACCAGTCCCTCACACTGCTACTATAGGAGGCCCCAGGTTCTCAGAGTTCTCAACTTTCACCTTCTTACATGCTGTTTTACACAGAGAAAACTCTGCCTTCCTGGAAGGCCTTCTCAGGTGCATTTTGCACTCCTGTGAAGCAGAAGCTCCTGGTCACTTCTGCTTGACCACAGTCTCTGTGCAGGCTCATCCCACTGCTGTACAGAGAGAAGGCTGGGAGAAGAGGACACAGGCATGAATGAAATGTAGTGGTCAGAGAGGATTAGATCAGCTTTACCGATGGCAGAGCAAAGGGATTGCTGCTGTCCCACAGAAGCAAAAACCTCAATTTTCTCCTTTTGCCTGGAACACTCTTCAAGCACTTAAACTTCTTGCAAAAGGAGCTTGGGCTACAGAAAAAGGACTTTACTGAAGAAGCAGGGGCAAAAGCAGAAGTCTCTGCTAACAACAGCATGCAGGTGAGACTGCAGGGAAAAGCTGATGCTGGCAATCCAGAGAGAAGCATTAGGAAGAGATGCTCTAGTTACACAGCCAGCAACCTCCTCATGTTCAGGGGAAGTTCTGCTCCAAGCGTCAGTAATTCAGAGGGCAGAAAAAGCCTTTGATCAGATAGGTTTGGGACCAAGTCACAGAATAAAGATCTGGGGTGGAACCAGACATACTATCCAAGCTAGCCTCTCCAACTTCCAGAAAAGCAACTCCCTTTCCAACCATGTGCCAAATGCTTCTTAGGGTCATTCACACTCCTTCACCATCTACCTGAGCTGCTCACATGAGAAAAGCCTTTTGGCTCTTAAAGTTTGTTTGCCAGGTGCATGACAAAGTAGCAGAAATGCATTCTGTTCTCAGCTCCTGGCTGGGGCATTAAGCAGCAGGAGTACTACAGGACACAAAAAACCCCCCTTCATCTCTCAAGGTCACTCCTGAAGAGGTACAGTCAATTTGATTCACACCTCTCTACTCTCCACAGCTCCCTCCTCCACCAAGAAATACTAGTAGAACAAAGGGCTGGCTGCTTGTGGCTTGCGTCCAGATTTACACTGGGGTAATTCCACAGATTTCAACACAGCCACACCAGCAAAAGGCTGGAATTTAACGCTAAGCTTATGAATCACATAGGAAACACAGACAGCACAGCTTCAGCTATGATCCCAAGAGAAAGGCTGCTGCAAGCTGAACAGAGATCCCTGCAACCAAGTCCAGCTGGAAAAGTTTAACCCTCTCTTTGACAGCTTCACATTAAACCTGCTGCTGCTGGCAACTGCCTTTTCTTTACAGTTAGGAACGAAATTGCTGCTCCCAGCCCCTCAGTAAAGCAGGGCACAGTTAAAACAGGGCTTACTTTTGGAGCCCTGAAGATGGGCAGGTATCTCTTCTGCAGACACACACCCTCCCGAGCACACATGCTTCTCAAAGTAGGCTCTGAGCACTGCCTCTGGGAACAGTGCAGAGAAAGACAGACACAAGCACGAAAACCAGATGATTACAAACCCAAGCACCCACTGGGAGGTTCCCAAGGCCGTAGGTTGCCCCACCACCCGAAACATACATCAGTTTGTAAAGAATGTCTGTTATAGGGGCTACCCTGACCCGAGCAGTCACGGGGATGCCCTGTGCGAGGCTTCCCGCAGCCTTTGCACTTTGAACAGTCAAGAGGGCCCCAAGTGACTCACGTACCCGGGCTAATGCCCTGGGTGCACTCCTCAGCCCTGCCCTGGGCTACTTTTGCCACGTTGGTGTTTCACTGGACACCTCACCCACCCTGTCCTTGTGAAGGAACCCTCTTAGACTCTTGAGTGGAGGTGGCCTTTCAGTTGAAACCTGCTGACCGGCACCAGGCAGGGGAGCAGAAGAGGGATCCAGGCGTAGCGCGGGTAGCAGAGACCCCTTCTGCCCCACCACGGCCCATGGGCATCGAGGGTGCGGGCACGCCCGGGAGGCAGGCAGGCGAGTTTTACCTGATGAAGGTGGTCTTCCCAGTGGAGTACTGCCCCACGAGGAGCACCATGGGCTTGTTGTCGAAGTCGGCATCCTCCAAGGCGGGCGAGTGGAACTCGTGAAACTTGTAGTGCTCTTCCAGGGGGAGCAGCCTGCCCCACCACGGCCCATGGGCATCGAGGGTGCGGGCACGCCCGGGAGGCAGGCAGGCGAGTTTTACCTGATGAAGGTGGTCTTCCCAGTGGAGTACTGCCCCACGAGGAGCACCATGGGCTTGTTGTCGAAGTCGGCATCCTCCAAGGCGGGCGAGTGGAACTCGTGAAACTTGTAGTGCTCTTCCAGGGGGAGCAGCTTGGTTTTGTAGAGCTTTTTCAGGCCCTCGCTCACCGTCTGAAACACCTCGGGGTCTTTCCTCCGGCGGTCGTCGGTGCCCAGCCA